GCAGAAGAAAACCCAGACATATGTTTGAATTGATATCAAACAGAAAACCGCCGATGATCTTCACGTCTGGGAACTGCAGAACATTGAATGCACTATTTCTTAATAAATGACTTGAACAATTGATAACTTAATGATTATCATGGTAAGGAGCACTCCACTGATTTTACATGTGTTTATCAATTTTTAGTCCGGAGCCTTAGAAAAACATATATGTAACATAACAAAGTATATTAAAGCAATATGTCCTGTGTGGCTCTGGAGGAGTGTTCTAAAGTTTCTCATGGTGATTTCATCCAGTTTGAAAAAAGTGGTTTCATGTGCTTTTGAGGCGTGACTGACAATATGGATATCATCTTGACCGATCTTTTGTTAATCTGTCTCTTGTTTGAATTGAAGCAATAGTGAATGTACTTGAAATGAAATCATTTTACAGCACAGATTTAAAGGAGCTATAAAACCTGAACCATTGGGAACCTTTCATTGTAAAAAAAACAGTTAAATTGCAGATATGCTGGAAAAACTACTTTTTCTAGCAGAATATTAGTTGAAGGTTTTAGTAATGTACTGATTTCAATTAGTCCTTTCACAGTTTATTTGTAGGCAACATAGTCCTCTGTGACCCAAAACCAATAGACCACTACACAGGTCATCTCAAGCACTGTCTGCTAGAAATTACATTTACATGCAACTCATTTGAAACAGAAAGAAATGTCCACAAAATTGATTAGTCTTTACCCTAAACTTGGAATTCTGAAGTGACTTGATTGTTCTGTCAAACTAATAAAGTGAGTGATCGATCCCTAAATCCAAATTTTAAAAAAAGAAGTAAAATCAGAGATATTTATTTTCTTCAATAATAAAAGGGCCCTGAATCTTCTTAATTGAAGATTGATGGATTTTAGTCTCTGTGACAATAAAAATGCTAAATAAACCATCTTTTCTGTCTGCAGTTCACAGACAGTGTTGTGAAAAAGCCTGTGTGTATGCTGTGTGTGTGCGTGTGTGTGTGTGTGTGTGCGTGCGTACATACCTCTGCATGCCTCCAGCTGGCCTGTGAGAACTTTGCGAATCTCTGACACCCACATATTTTTAACATCCATGGAAGGAGCCTGGGGAATAATATACATACCATGCAAAAGAACACACACACACACACACACACACACACACACACACACACACACACACACATACACACAAACACACACAAATCAAGTATCTTGCATAACAAAAGCACCCCTGTGTTATTTTGAGTGAGAAACTTTTTAGTGGGGAAATGTGTGAGGTGCAACACTGTCCCCAAGAGGAGGATCATGGAAAACAACACTTGAAGCCTCCTAACAATCATTTATGAACAGAATTTAACATTAATGAAACAATTCAGTGGTTCTTAGCCATCAAAATATGAATTCACTGGAAAAAAAAAACTTTCACTCAAATATTAATCTTAATTTATCATTAGTGTATCACCCAGTGTTAAATTAAGTTTTTTTCAGGTTTATCTATTTCTGTAAAATAAATCTTTTCTTACACAGACACAACATGAGACAACATCAGTGAAATGAACTTAAAGGTACAGTGTGTAGAATTTTGTGATATCTAGTGTTGAAGTTGCATGTTGCAGCTGAACACCCCTCATCTCACCCTCTCATTCCAAACATGAAAAAGAAACTGTGGTAGACTTCAGTTGTCATAAAAACTCAAAAGGTGTTTGTCCAGTCTGGACTAATGTAAAAAACATGGTGGCCTCCGTAGAGAGGACCACCTCTAAATATAAAGTATTTAAAAAATATAAAGGACCTTTTCTAGGGTAACAAAAGAACAACTATTGAAAACATCATGAGGATTATTCTACATTAAATTTCTGCCAATAGATCCCTGTCACCTAAATCTTACACACTGGACCTTTAAGTTATCAAACATTAGGACATTATTATATATGGCTTTATTAGATTGTTGTTATTGATCCATCACTGTGTAAGCAGGTGTAGCAGGTCGATGTGCAGCTAGTTTATATTGACCTCCTAGGATTCCAGACATCTGATTACTTAGGTCGAGTAGAACAAAGTTCTGCAATACAATGCAATCACTTTTCATGTTTTGGACTGTTGTACTGTGAAATACCTCTTTTAGCCTCAAACAGTTACTTTTAATGAATCAGTTTGAGAATTCTGAAGGTGAAATGTTTGATGGTTTGCTGGTTTAATATGTAGTATTAAATAACTTTGACATGTACAAATACGATCCAGATACATGCAAACATCAAAGTTCTCGTGCTGGAGTCCGATCTGTGACTGGGCTTAACAGACACTTGCAATGGAAAGAAACTTCAGGTACAAAAGTTGAAAAGTTATAAAAAGTGAAGTTTGGAAGGTATTGGTTAAATATAAACTGTATATATATCATACCTGGATGATGTAAACCTCCTCTCTGCCGTTGTACCACACCTCAAACTTCTTGCTGTCTCCTTTGACGTTCTCTGTGATGCCCACAGCGCTCATCTGGACAGACAGTGGGACAGAGATGCTGTGAGATGCAGCAGCCACTGAGGCTTAAGTTGAGATGTAAAATCCTTGACATCAGCATGTACTGTCAGAACACCAGATAAAATTAGCCAAACACTAAAGGAAACCTGACTCCACAGCTCATTCTCTCTGAACAGTGTGTCAGTATCATACCCTGAAAGTTTCCAAAATAAAGTAAAGTGCCCATAGAAGATTCAAAATGATCATTTTACCACGAAGCAAGGATCCAACTATAACATAGTGCTCCTTAGCCCTGGAGTTGCAGTCTGTAAGTTTGCTTTTTTTTTTTTTGCTTTGTAATCTAAAACAATTAAGGGATAAGGCTTTACATATTCTAAATATTTCTAACACAGAAATTCTCATGAACAGACCAAATCCAACAATGAATTGAGGTTTGATATTGTGCGTGTAGCCAAAGCTGGATAGTTCTGATCTAAAGAGCTTCATTGTTGTCCAGAAACAATTATAAGCACATCAATATAATGCTGGCTGACATGTTCATTCTTTGCTACACACACACACACACACACACACACACACACACACACACACACACACACTTCCAGCAAAAAAAACATACCAGACAAGATTTTTATAAGAGATAAGGTCACATGAAGTTGGGGCTCGTAGGGCTCTTGGACAGTTGCCCACTTTGCCCACTTGTTGATCAAGCTGGACCATTTATGACTTTTTCTCCCATTATTGAGAAGAACAATAGATATAGTATATTAATAATAGATATAATAGAGCATCATGAAGTCAGCAAACCACTGCTGGTAAAACAAAACATTTGTTCACATGTAATAACACGTAGCTGCTCTGGTTTCTTCCACTCCTATAGTATTTCTGTCCCACCTCTCTGCCTTGTGCTTCTTGTTAGTGTCTCAGTCTGTGTGTGTGTGTGTGTGTGTGTGTGTGTGTGTGTGTGTGTGTGTGTGTGTGTGTGTGTGTGTGTGTGTGTGTGTGTGTGTGTGTGTGT